CCCGCACACTCACACACACACCCAAAAAAAATTAGTTTATTTTTAAAAAATATTTTTAATTTCAAAAATTATTTTACCTCTTTAGTAAAAATAAAAGATATTTTCTCAAAATATTTTTCATTCATAAATCAAACACTAAAAAATCTTTTCTGGAAAATATTTTTTACTCACCAATCAAACATGAGAAAATAAGTCAAAAATCTACTTGTTTTCCAGGAAAACATTTTCCTTCATACCAAACACACCCTAAATGTTTATTTGTGCACATCCAAAATTAATGGGCATAAATATCAATTAAAGCCAAGTTAAAATGGTATATTAATGTATTATGTCAATCGATAGTGGTGCCAATGAGGTCATAAAGATGTCGATATCTTATTTTACACTCCCTCGTTTCAATTTATTTATCCTATTTTCTTTTTAAGTCAGCTTCAATATGAATGCCTCCTTCTCTTTTTGGAAATTCTTCAATTCTAAAAAATTTTAAGACAACAAGATTAAAGGATATTTTGGTACATTTAGATATCTTTAGTGTAATTAGACCATAAGATTCAAAAATATTTCTTTACTATTCTTAAACTTGGTCTTAGTCAAAACAGGACAAACAAATTCAAACAAAAGAAATATAAAATAATTAAGAACTTATTATTAAGTTACGCCAGCACCACGTGAGAATATATTGTTAAGTGTAGTCAAATATGTTTTTTAACTAGACTTAAAATGTTGCGCTAGTACGTAAAAATATATTGTTGAAAGTGTTGTTAACGTATACATCACTAGAATATGAACTTGTAAAAGTATATTATCATTAAAATGACGTACGAATTAATAAATCTTTTTCACGCGTGGAAGTGTGTGCCTGTCTATATAACAGTGTGGAAGTGCAAAGGCTGACCATTCAACTCGAAGCTCAAAATAATTAAGTTGAAAATGGTAGCATCAAGGATTCTTTCAACATCCAGAAAAATCATCAAGCCTTCCACTTCAACCCCTCATTCACTTAGACGTCAAAATCTTTCTTTTTTTGATCAATTAGTTAGTCATTCATATTGTCCAATTGTTGCATTTTACTCCAAACCATCTTCAAATACTATTAATATATCCCAACATCTTGAAAACTCACTTTCAAAACTGTTGTCAACTTATTATCCCTTTGCTGGAAGACTCAACGAGGATGTTACTTTTGTTGATTGCAACGACTTTGGTGCCGAGTTTTTAAATGTCCGAATCAATTGTCCAATGTCTGAAATTCTCAACAACCCTGATAATGATGCTATCGATATAGTATTTCCTCGAAATTTACCTTGGGGCAGTAATTCTTCACTCGAGGGGCGAGGGAGTTTACTAGTTGCCCAATTGAACCATTTCAATTGTGGCGGAATAGCAGTCAGTACATGTGTGTCACATAAAATTGCTGACGGATATATAGTACAGCTAAATTCTTTACGGATTGGGCCGGTACAGCTCGTGGGGCCAATTCAACAGAATTATTGGGGCTCAAGTTTGGTACAGATGATATATTCCCAGCAATGGAAGATCTTCCAGCTGTGCCTAATACGGAGCCACTTGAACCACAACGAATCGTGACTAGACAGTACCATATACCTTCCTCTAGTTTAATCAAACTTAAGGATATAGTTGCAACGAAATCACCGGTGCAGAATCCAACTCGTGTTGAAGTTGCAACAGCACTCCTTCATAAATGTGGAGTGAGTGCGGCAAATGATGAGTCGGGCTCGTTCCAACCATCATTTTTGTGCAATGCAATGGGATTTCGCCCATTGCTGCACGGCCAGTTAAACACTATCGGTAATCTTGTTACTTTCCTTGTCACATTTGCAGGTACGGAGGAGGAGATACAAGTGCCTAATTATGTCGCACAATTACGCAAGGCTAAATGTGAATTTCGAGACAAATTGAAGGATAATATGAATAATCCAAAAGAAGTGATAGCATCACATACATTTGAAACGCTCAAAGTTGGTGCAGATATATTAGAGGAACATAAACCTGATTTGTATTTGTGTAGCAGCCTGTGCAATTTGGGGCTATACGATACAGTTGATTTTGGATGGGGCAAGCCTGTAAGAGCAACCACAGCGAGTCGTCGAAATCCAGTAAAGAACTACTTGTATTTCTTAGATAACCCAAAAGGAGATGGGATAAATGCGCTAGTCACATTGCCAGAGAAAGATATGCCATATTTTGAAAGTAACAAAGAGCTCCTCCAGTTTGCTTCCCCGGGCCATCATTTCAGTAGCTGTTAAATCCATATTCCCAACTCCTTCTGTGTGATTTTTACTTATTGTAATGTGTATTTGGTTTCTTGTTGCTATAAAATATTCCATACTGTACTTGTACTAGTTTTATACAGAAATATGGATATTTCTAATAACATAGCCATTGCATTTCCGAGGACCGAAGATTTAAATATTATGAATTTTAATTCGGATTCTACACAATGAATTTAAATATGATGAATTCTAAATTCGAACTGAATTGTTTATAGTTTGTCAGAAATATTATAGTAACAGATTTATATGGTACGAATCGAAGTCAATGAATTCAAATGAAATTATAATGTAAGTTCCCCAACCCCACCTTCGTAATGTGCTTGATCACTTTTGATAGAAACGTGGGCCCACTAGGAGTGACAAATGAGCCAGTCGAGTCGAATATAATTCGATCGAAAATGAGTTAAATAAAAATTAATAAAGTACTCGACTCGACTCACATTTTAAATGGATAAAAACAAGTTACCCAATGAATAATATGAATACCATATTATAATAGAGATCTGGTTCAAAGCTTTAAAAACAAAATCTTTTTAAAGTTTTTTTATCACTCCACAACCTACCAGCCCCCTGCCCACTATCCCAAAAAAAATGTAAAAAATAATTAGTTTGTTTTTTTATTAAAAAAAATCATTTAAAATTTTTTTTATCACCCAACCCCCTACCAAAAATATCAATTTTTTTACCACCCCGCCCCTACCC